TTGATTAAACGTAAGCGGATAACTCATTTACATTGAGCCAATTGCCTTTCTGTGTGACTCCATTCGATACGGAATTCTCTACATATCCCGAAAATCCTAAGCTTATTCTAATCCGACGTTTCTCAACGCAAATGTGAAAGAAGTTCTGAACTTTACTTCTGTGTTCAGCGCTGTGTTCAGATTCAGTTGGCAGGTTCCAGTCACTCGCCATTCCTTGTGACGTTGTCAGCCAGTGCGCCTGCATAACCCATCACACGGACCGCGCGGTCACGCCGACCGCTCCTTCGACGTTGCAACCACAACAACCGCCTGACCGATGTGCGCCGCTCTTAAAACTGGAAAAGTACAGAACGCCAATCAAGCCACTGGGTCAGGTAACGACACCATGTTGAATGGCAGAAATGTGAATCCGAAAAAGCTCCAAGCAAAAGGCATTTGCGGGTTGGGAGAATGTCATCGATTAGTTAAAATACGTCCTCACAGTGAAATAGTATCATCCGAAATGTGCGAACGTGTACCAACACCAGGTGCGCGAGCGAAATAGCTCACAAGATGCACTTTGCTTCTGTACTGCGTGCTCGTCTACCCCAATCGTTAAGTGCTTGCTTATCCTAATCCAGCAGTGCGACCGGTTAACTGCAGAAGCCGAGCAGAGGATAAACGGTAAGATCACTACAATGGAAGCGAGTATGCACTAGGGAAGCGTAGCGGCTTCTAAGCAACGGAATGCTGCACAATCCGCTTCCCCTGAAGCGCAATCAGCCACGTCCCCATCTCCGTTGTCTTCTCCAACTTTGGTAGAACGCCGCGCAAGTCGGCCCGGCCAAGCCCTACGAGAATCAAACAGTACTCATGGCAACGAGAATCAGGCATCACTCGAAACGTCTGATTAAGCTACTTCTACTAGACCTGACATCTAGCATTAACAAGGATAAAGCAACCGGACACCAACCCTCGGTACCTGTAGCTCAAATGTCTTGTCGAGACAGAGCCCGCTGGAATATCCATTACATATGCAGAGATTGCTGCAAAGGCCAGCCGCGAGGCCCCCGTTGCGGCCTGTTCTGTTGTAAACACCGTTAACGCGAATAGAGGGACAAACAGTAAACAATTAACTCTTGTCAGCAGCTTAGGACAAACGATTCCCCTACCTTGTAAATCAACGAAAAAGGGATCCAACAATAGTGCCTGGACTGTTGTATGCTCAAATGTCCCTGAATCTACCGCCGTCACATTGCAGGGTAAGTTGTCGTACAGCCAAGACCAATGGAACTCATTGTGCTGATGAGTGTCAAAACCAAGCCCATAAACTTATTACGAATAACTCGTCATCCGAACTCGCCACAGTATGGCGAACCCAGACTTATCCGAGTAACACTAGAATCGTCCACCGACGTGGAAAACGTTTTGCTTTCCGCATGCGCGCTAAGACACGATTCCTGTGGGATACGCATCTATCCTGGTGTCCCTTGGAGCGCGCGACAACCAAAACGAAACACAGAAGACAGGCACAGCAAGCAAGACCGCTTAAACACAATCTTCATACATGGCGTGCCAGAACATCCTTCTAACGACTTTCAAGAGACCGGAAAGCACGATTTGGAACAGTGGCAGTTCATTCGTGCAACACTTTCTTTGGATAGTATTGTGACGCTATCGCTCACCAAGACGCCTCTCTCACAAACTTATAGAGGATGCGGCCCTAGAATCTCAAAGCTTGTGGTTCAGCCAGAGTAACAAGCAACGGATGTTTTAGATCGATGGCGGAGAATTCGGAAAATTCTTCCTTCTGAACGTCGGTTTAAGGTCGCAGAAGCTTTGCACCTGAAGCAGTAAGCGTACCGACAATGATACAGGAGCTTAACTTGACTGCTGCTTTATTTGACCCTGATGTAGGTCTAAACGAAGATTGGGATGCACCTTGGCCGAATCAAGTTGCAAACGAAGTATCATTATCCCACCGAAAAACCGAGTAACTTCCGACCTCCCATCGGTCGGCAATCTCCCACAATTGACCCCTTCACCCATCTGTGGGGTCCTAGAGACCGAGAAACTGGCCTGCTTGTATACGAATGCTCAGGGTCTTTTTAATATACTAGCCGAACAGAAAGATCGCCAAGCTTCCTGCTCATATGATGTCATTGGTATCACCGAGACGTGGTTGTACACTGGAATGGCGGACGCTGAAGTTTCGCTACCCGGGATGTCGCTGATCCAGAACGACAGGCTCACAAAAGGAGTAGGGGTAATTCTGTACTACCGAAACGACTTACAGTGCGAAGCCGTGGCGTATTCAGACTCGCAGTTCCCCAACTCTTTGGTGCCGCTTGCAATTAAGAGACAGGTACGACTGTCTTATTGTCTTGGTGTATCTCCCATCTAACTCTACACCCGAAACCGACTACCACCTAGCGACTACTTTAAGATGCAGTTTACAACAAAAGTACACTCATACTTATCATGCGTGATTTTAACGTACATTGTGTAGAAACTCCTGCCACGGTCGGAGAACAATTCAAAGCCGATCTGCAATATCTCGTAAGCAGTGTTCCACTTTACAACCACATCACTGCCCACTCGGTTCAGAACAGGTAACGTGTCGTCTTTGCTGGAGCTTACCAAGGAGGAGCATATGATTGATGTGTTGGTTTTGGACTACCCGTTGGGTCGCAGTGATCACGTAGTGACCGGTTTCAACTTCGTCTGCTATACAAAATATCGGGATGAAAACGGTGAGACTGTGCGAACCATCACAAGCTACGATCAATTAGCCCAGCTCGTTAGCGCCACAACTTGGTCGTTTCTTGACAGAACCCCCGGAAGTCGTTCTGCTCGTGTTGGTCAACAAATTCAGTCAGCTGATTGCAGGGGCTTCAGAGATCGTTTCCAATAAGTGTAAATCAGTTTCCTTCGTCAGAAGCAGAACACGAAAATGCATGACAGTACGCAGCGCGGCATGTCGAGTGTGCAGAGAAATTCCAGCACCCGAAACTTGGAACAACTGCGTAGCCAAACGTAACCACTGCACACAGCTGCTAAGAGAAGACAATGCCACATATCAGCAGAACTTCGCAACAACTTTCCGTGCTAACCAAAAACTGCTGCGCATGCACGTCAGTAGCTTAAGAAACGTGAGGCAAGGGTTTTCTCCACTCAAAACGTCCGCTAGCTGTGGAAGCGACAAACGCGCTGCAGATGCAATATGCCCCCACGTTTCAGAGGGTCTTACCACCACACGATCCTTCAGCCTTCCTCGTCTCTCCGCCAGGACTAACCCACATCATTTTTATCGCAGAGGCTATATTGCAATACCTGACGTCTCTACACAAACACGGCTCGTCGAATGTCGATACCATTCGTCCAGGAACACTGGCCGCGGCAGCAAGCCAACTGGCAGGACCTTTAGCTCAGTTTTCCATCGCTGTTTAGAATGGAATCAAGTTCCCGCTATGTGAAAGCTTGAACTAATAACACCGATTCAGATGTGGAAGCAGAACTGAGCCTTCCAACTACCGCCCAGTATCCCTTCTTCCTATACTCTCCAAGGTCGTGGAATCCATAGTTACCGAAGCAATAGTGTGTGAGCTGGAAAACTATAACATCATCAGGTCTGAGCAGCACGGCTTCCGTCGACAGCGGTCATGCACAACGAATTTAAGTATCGCATGCAGTAGTTGGACCGAGTCATCTGACGCTAGACTAGGCTTTGCTGTGATCTACCAGGATTTTTCGAAGGCTTTCGATGGTCCAGACCATCCGATACTATTCTCTAAGCTCCAGCAGTACGGGATCAGCTACCCTCTTTTAAGCTGGATTGCCAACTTTCTACTTCAACGAGCAAATTAGTGGTCAGAGTTCGTAGCTCTTTATCGGACCCCATACAAGTCGAGTTTGTTGTGCCGTAAGGCTACGTTCTAGGTCCACGTTTGTTTTTGGTGTTTATTAATGACCTTGCACAGGGAATCTCTTTAAACTTCTTAACGTTTGCCGACGATATCAAGATTTGGCGCAGGATCCGGGTGAACGGCGACCAGCATCTGCTTCAAAGGGACTTATATACGGTATATCAATGTTCAACTAAAATTTACTGCATTTCAACGTGTGTAAATGTAAGGTACTTTCCATCCGACATCATAACCTACTCATGCCGGTTTGGAACGAACGTACTGCAACAACTTTCGAACGTAATTTGGGTGTCCTGGTTCAAGACGACTTGGGTTTCTCCAGACAATCCAAAAAGGTCTCGAAGACTGGAAACCAGCAGGTCGGGCTGTTGCGACGGGCGTTTGCACAAATAAACAGCTCCATATTTCGACAAATGTTCGGTGTGTATGTTCGCCCTCATGTCCAATACGCAATTCAAGCCTAGCATCCATGGCTGAAACACTATCTTAATGCATTGGAGCAGCCACAATGTCGGGCATCTAAGAACGTACTTGGAATTCGCAAACTTTTATACCAGGAGTGGCTGCAACGATTGGGGGTATTCAGTGGAAGCTATCGTAGGTTACGAGGCGACCTGTTTATGGCATACTTGGTTCTGCTAGACCTACATCTTGTGTGCTGCCCTTTACTGCAACTCAGCAGCCATACAAACCTGGAGTGCCGCAGAAATTTCTTTTCCATTCATGTCTGGCACCCGTGAAATGCTGTCCTAGAATCGATTGTTTCTGCAACGACATTAACAGTATTTAAAAGGTGGTTTGTTGACACTCATCGACTTACACGTTCTCAACGCTACTTACCCATCCTACAGCTGGAGTTTGCCGTGGATTTATTTGATGTTAACTGTGAGTGCTGTGAATCTAAGCGGATTGCAATACTACGGCGGAGCCAACGATAAGTCCTCATTTTAATATTTAAAGTACTAACTGTTTTACTGTTATTCTTATTATCATTATTATTTTGATATCCTCACCATGTATGCAACAAGACTTGTAAAGCAACGCTTCTTAACCCGTATACATTCACTGTTCATTGTTTTCTGCTTTTATGATCAGGTAGAATTTCAAGTGATACGGAGACTGAAAGCGGCTCGACCTCCCCCATTTCCATGCCTAGCTCTTTTATTTCAGATCACTTGGGTTGTGATATTGCAGGCAAGTTGCTGATCCCTTATTTCTTATTCAATTATCTATTGCCACTGTTGTATGTGTGCATCCGTACAGGTACGCATCGGCTCGACATTAGCTACGCTACCTTTATGAAGACAAGGTAACTGTGAACTTCCGCAGTAACCGCACCATTGATTGGTTTACTCTAGCTGTCGATATCTTCGCCCAACATCGCGAACACCGCACTTAACTAACTACTGTGGACTGTCGAGTGCAGAGTATTGCATCATCCAACTTCTGATTGAGTAAACTCCCTTAAAATGGCACAATTGGCTTTAAAATACAGACGCGTTCAAGGGGACAGCTGTACAACTGCACTGATTCCATCTACCTGTTGAGTCGCATTGAGGACGAAACTGGTCATGGGGTACAGTGTTGGAACCGCGAACAACACCGAAAGCCGTTCCTTCACTTCGGATACAGTCCTAGTGCAAATGCTCGATGCCTACTTCAAATCACCAAGGTCGCAATAGACATTACATTTTGAACCCAACTAAACGTCGGGTACTCCAAAGCCCAACTTTGAATTCCGTTTTGAACTTTCATCCTCTAAACCTCTCTCGGACAATAAGCATTGTTGCCTTTGTTACTGAGGTATTTCGTTCTTTTTTCGCCAGATTATTTTTTTCTCAAGAAATTTCGTGGTTTTCCTGTTATATCTCTGTTAAATTTGTTACTTCCGTGTAGGACTACATCTTTTGACTTTCCATCTGGATACAAGTATTTCTCTCTTTATCCACTGCCCTGAATGAGGCGGTTTCAGAGCCTGTCTTATGACTCACTGCCCAAGGTGTCCTTTGCTATTAGAATGTCGTGTCACTCGGCGGACTTTGCGCTGACACAGCGTGCTGTTGCGGATTTGTGATTTAAACATCAGGTCTAGCTACAGTGAACATGTTGTTTAGTTACTACGCGTCCATGCATGCTCTCTTCCGTTGTCATAGTAGCGTATCAGATAGCCTAGCCTAATTTAACGTTTATATGACTCTTACCTGCCCTTGAAGTGCCTTTCCATTGTTAGGTCTAGAAGTGCCCACCGTCTGTCTGGATTACGACACGTTCCATTGTTCTCTTTCTTTCACAACGTAAGTGCTCCGACATTGGTTTCGATGAGGGGATGAAGTCGCTTAGGCTCTTCATTGATTCGACTTTCAACACGCTCTTTTAATCGTCGCCCAGGCCCTGCTTCCATTATGACGATAGAGCTAAAAGTTTCCTGGTGCAGAAAATTTTTATTCATTATGACAAAATAAGCGTTACATTTTCTCGAAGTACTGTCCACCAGCGTTCTTTTACAGTTCCATGCACACAAACTACTTGGAAAAGCAGCTAGACCAATCCGTAACGGGTAACCCTTTAAGCAACTCAATAAATGCCTCTGCTGCGGCTTCTGGAGACTCATAGCAGATTCCACGCATGCGCTTGACATTTGGGAACACGAAATGTCACATGGAGTCACGTCTGGACTGTCGTTGGATAACCAGCCTCCTGGATTCCTTTTCTAGCCAGAAAATCTACGGCGACATGGGGCCTGTTTGCAGGTGCGTTGTCGTGGTACAGCAAGTTCCCTGGCGCTCGAGTACTTGGAAGACGCCTGGCTACAGCTTCCTGCACTTGCGGCAGACAGTGGGTAGCATACAACTCTCCGATGACTGTGCTTTGCTGTACGAGCGGTACAGTAGTCACATGACCGGTCTTGACCACGAAAACAGCCAACATCTACGTGACCACACTGCGCTCACGCCGAAATTTCTGAGGCAGCACCCTACCAACGGCCGTCTACTGTGCCGATTGTCGCAGGGTCTTTGGGTCAAAACTTCACACCGAGGTTTCATCACCACTGAGGATCTCCCAAACAGCGTTGGAACGTCCACCATCGAACCTGGCACGCATAGTACGGCACCAATTCACCCGAGCTACTTTTGCTCCTCACTAAGCTGTTGGGTTACCCAGCTTGCGCAAAACGTTCGGAGGCCGAGGTTCTCATGTGCGATGGTGCGAATTGATCCCGATGGCTTTACGCAGCTGTACCACAGTCGTCCGCGCGTCCTCCTCCAGCATCGCTTGAACAGGAGCAATGTTGTCCTCAGTGGTGGCCTCCACCGGTCGACCACCGCGTCTCATCAGCCACGGACCGACTGCCACTTTTTGATTCTGTAAACCACTCAAACACGCCGGTTCTTGAAGGCGCATCATCACTAAATGCAGCACACAATCACTCCACACTCTGGTTCTGCTTTAGACCAGCTTTGTTGTCATATAAACTCATCACCCTTTAATGACATCGATTGAGTTCCATACTTATAGTCAGAGGATAGCGACGCTTATGGATGTGAGCTGTACTGGGCTGCTGATATAGGGTTCTGTGAGTTAAAATCACTGAACAATAAGCAGAATGAATTACGGGTCACATTTTTCTTGCCACGTCATCTGCACCCAGTTGGTGTACTGCTTATCCGGAACCTTATTGCTCTGCCATCGTATAACTCAGCGGTGCCTTCGTAATTTAGCTCACATCTGGTGGGAACACCGCGTGAGCAACGAGCGTGTTCGACGCCTTGTTTACGGCACAGGAAAAGGAACTGAACCGCTCAGCACCGTTATTTAACGCACCAGGCTCCGATGGCTCGGCCACGTGTTACGCATGCCAGCCCACCGACTTCCGCGACGTGTGTTGTTTGCGCGCCCGGGGGGGGGTGGATGGAAGAAGAGGAGGGGTGGCCAAGCGATGACTTGGTCGAGAGGAATGAAGGCCCTCACTTCTGAGCTGGCCTCGGTTGAAGCGTCTCGGCTCCCTGGTTGGGACCCGAAAGACGATGAACATGTTTAGTTGGACACACTTGCTGATATGGCTAGGAGCCGACCTCAGTGGCGTTCGTGCTGTGAGTTTCTTTGTCGCACCCCATCCCTCTTAGCCTCCCTCTCCAACCACGATCTCATTATTTGGTCTTATATAATTTTGCATAGTATTTTTTGATGCGTAGTAGCCGGCTGGTAGCTTACCGGAACGATGCCCATCCGTTGCTGGTAGCTCAGCCGGCTTGCTCCAGTTGGATTCTTTTTTCTCTCCTTTTTTCTGTGTATTGCGGCACAGTAGCTGAGGTGTTCCTCACCTCTAGCTAACGTGTATGATGATGATGAACTCAGCGACACATTGAGTATCCTTAATTTTTCGGTCCAAACACCTAACAGATTAAACTCTTATCCGCCGATGACTTAGCGGGTTCCATTTCTTCCAATCAGTGTTGAATACGATAGTGCAGATGTGTTCTCTACTTGTCCGATGAAGTTATTTTTTAGCTTCGTGAAGTGGTTCCATGTGCATCTTAAAACTGGTTATCTGTTTCTCCTCGTCAAGTTACAGCTTCGATGATACACCTATTGTTGAACGCGGTGATGAGATTTCTGTTCATCCTAAGATTGCTTCTCAACGTGATCACGAACGACAGAGTCCACACTTTTATGTTCTTTCTGAGGCGTTCCTTACGTCTACCAATCGTTCTTTTCTCGTGACCCGGTTTAGTGCACTTTAAACAAATATGCTTTTTAGCCAGGTTTGGAGGGGGTCCAACGTCCTGTTCGCCACACATCCAGCGTACAGCACGCGATTTCCTGATCAGATTTACTTACCGTACCACTGTTTGCGTGTCTCACGATCTGAAAGTATCCAATTTGTATTGAGAACTGTTTCTTGAGGATTTTGATGTTGTATTTCAAAGTCACTGGTTGCTTAGCTATGCCAATGAGTGACTTTACATTTATGTCCGGTTCCTGCTTTAGCCTGAAAAAAGCTAGGTGCGAATTTCCGCATCTGGCGCGAAATTCAAGCTATCAATGAACATGTGACGGTTTTACCGACCATCGGTTAAGGTGCACGACCTGGCACGTTCACCCTCATCTTTCTGAGTGTCTATTTACCCCTGTAACTATCTGTCTTCCGCTTGGCTGTCTTTGAACCCTGATAGCGGGTACTTTATGATTACTCATTCACTGACAATTTCATTAAGGTATAACACCCCCTCACTCAAGGGTATTTTCAACTGTTTTGAGAGAATCTATTCTACTAATACTGATTGTCCATTTGTGCCGAGTTTGCGTAGCAGCAGCCGAGCTCTTTATGAATCGTATGAACGATCGTAACCTGATATCGTTTGAAATATGCATCGAAAGTCCATCCGGGGTCGTCATTTTAACTAGTGATATGTGTTCGCGAATTATCCTAATCTCACCCAGTATTTATCCATGCACATTGCTTGGATTGGAACAGGCCACAAACGGACAGATAGTGGCCGTTCTGCTCACCAATTTCCATCATGAGATTGGCGTTTTAAGTAGTGCGATAGTTTGCACATTTTTGAGTACAACCACGAAACTCTTTCATGGTGACGGTAGAATAGCTAAGCTTGAGCTTACATCATCTTTATCCTCATACGAGAAGTTGGTGGTCTTCTACCTCTAAACCCACCATGGATTACACCAATTCACTGCTCATATACTTGCTTAGACCAGTGTTACTCAAAGTTTGGTCCGCATACCCCATTGTAGTGAATCTTGGTCATTGCGATCACTGGGATCGTATCCGAAGCAGATGGAAATTAACAGTTGTGCTACGCGTTGTCATTCGTGACCCGGTAGCCAAAGAGGTAGAGGTTTCGGTTACTATTCCAATGGTTGTGGGTTCAAGAACTGCTATCTACCTAATGAGATAAAATGATCTCGAAACGCGTCGTGTTGGTGCAATCTTTTCGGGCGAGCAACACCCAGTTTCCATCTGCTTCAGCTACCGTCCTAATGATCGCAGTGACCAAGGTTCACTTCAATATGAATCGAGGTCTGCATTGAGATTGCGTGTCGCAGTCCAATGACACAACTTGTTCTTCAAAATGACCCTTACTATCGTTTATTAAACCGTTGTGCCAAGTGTTGCTCCTCGTGACCCGGTAGCCAAGGGGCATAGAGGTTTCGGTTACTATTCCAATGGTCGA